AAACCCCTCCTTTCTCTCTCTAGAATCATACCCAATCAATCATTCATATATGAATATATTATATATGATATACCCATTCCCTTCCGATTCTGCTTCATCTCCCCAAATCATCGACTACGCACTATCTTAATCTTATACCAAATTGAAATTTCTCAAAACCCCATTAAAACCCTCATTCCAAGACTCTGAAACCTCGTTCTTTTCGTCGATTTTGAGCCAATGGAGCATCAAAGAAACGCACAGATGATGCAAATCCCGAAGCACCAGCAGTATCTCACAAATGGGGTTCCGTTTCGATCATTGCCGCCGTCTTTTGTGTCCGACGCCCACCGTTTTTCGGCGTCTGAAGACCAAAAGATGACTTTTAACCTACCTCCTTCGATTGACGTCGATCAGAGCTTATCAAATGTCTTTTCATTGCTGAACCTTTCGCCGGCGAAGTACACCGACCGCCATCCGTTCTTCTCGAGGTCTCTCGACGGTCAAATCAGCTCTTCCGTTGGCGTCGGCGAGGGTTTTGTTCACCCCATTGGTAGTCCTCGACTGATGCATTCCGATGAGGGCTTTACCAATCACTTTCCGGTGGAACCTCGTCATCATCATCAACAGCAGCAGCAGCAGCGTTTCAACGATGCGAATGATTTGCAGAGGCATTGTTCTTCTGGATTTGACTTTGACCAAAAGTCTCCCTTGGGCTCCAAGAAATTCCTTTACTCAACTCAGCAACTCGATTCCTTCCCCAAATGTTCATCAAACCATGCTGCTGCCAATTCCGATAAACCATTTCTTCCTGCCAATGGCAAACTGAAATTTCAGTGGTCAGATGAACACCTTACTCCTTATTATAACAACAATCATCTTTATAGGGTTCCGTTTCAAACCCATCAGTTTCTGAGTTCTTCGTCGTCTTTGAAACAACTGAGAGGAAGGATTTATGCCCTGGCTAAGGATCAAAATGGTTGCAGAATACTACAAGCCATGTTCGAAACACCAACAACGGAAGAAGTGGAAATGGTTTTCTCTGAGCTGGTCGACTCCATTACTGATCTAATGAAAGATCAATTTGGGAATTATGTAGTCCAAAAACTCGTCACTCTGTGCAACAATGATCAGAAAATGAAAATACTTCTTTCACTAACCAAGATCCCAACCAATATCATCCTCGTCTGTATGAATCCACATGGGTATGTTCAATTGCTCCAATCTTCTTCGATTTCTTTCATTAATTCCGCATCATGTAATGATATTTCTTCGTTTGCTAATTCTATAGAACAAGAGCAGTGCAAAAATTGCTGGAAAACTTGAAAGATCCATTTCAGGTTAAGCTAATAATGAACGCTCTACACCTTGGCGCCACCTTATTGGCCAATGACCCAAACGGTCATCACGTCATTCAGTTTTGCCTGATTCATTTCCATAGCGATATTATCAAGGTACCATAATCATTATCATGATCATTATATGCTAATTTGTAACCAAGATTCAATAAATGAGTATTTCGTCATTAATTTTGTCAGCCGATTCTTACGGAGATAGCAAATGAGTGCTATAAAGTAGCAACAGATAGAAGTGGATGCTGTGTGCTTCAAGCATGTGTAGAACACTCTCGTGGAGAACTTAGAACACGATTAGTCGCTGAGATTATGGCCAATTCGGTTCATCTGGCTGAAGATCCTTTCGGGTTTGTGTCTCTAAATTAATCCTTTAAACCAACATTGTCTTTTATCTGTATCATTTAATGGATTAAGATGATTGGTGTTATTGAATTTAGGAATTACGTTCTGCAACACATGGTGGGACTGAACATTCCGGTGTTCACTTCAATGCTTGTGAGGCAACTTCAAGGGAATTTCGCGTCACTTTCCTGCAATAAATACGGTAGCAATGTTGTAGAGAAATGTCTGAATGAATCTGGAGAAGATGTATCGACACAAATCATTCTGGAACTAATCAGAAGCCCTAATTCCTCTTTGCTACTAATAGACCCCTATGCCAATTTCGTTATCCAGTCTGCCCTAAAAGTTTCCAAGGTTTGTTCATGCTTCTGTTGTTAAATTACTGATTAGTAGCTCAAATCGAACGCCAAAATTGATCTTTTATTGTTCATGGTGAGGTTAGGGTTTCGCACAGGACTGTTTGCGTGGGCTAATTTCGAAGAACATGTCGTCAATGAGGAGTAATCTGTATGGTAAAAAGATATTGGAAAAATTGGAGAAGAAGAAGGTGATGAAGAAAGGGTAAGTTAACTGGATGGATAGTTTGTTTGTGATTATTTGTTGTTAATCCACGAATTGTAGCCAATTAAATATGTGTCTGTGTGATGTTTCTTGAGTTGTTGTCTTCTAAAGTTAATTTACAAGGTTAGGAATTTAGGGCATGAGAAGTTGGTGGACTATGTTAATTTTTGTAGCAAGTGTTCGAATCTTGAAGGGTCAAAGTACAGTGTGTAACAATGAATTGATGTTTGTAGGAAAGTTTTTGTTTTCTTATTGATATCCATCAAAATACTATAGATATTATATGTGAAATTGGTCATTGTCATCTACGAGTTGGTATACTATATGCAAAATTAAGTAGTCTATTTAACGGGAAAGTAAAAAGGGGGTTTTAGTTGGAGTTGAGGATTTTAACATGATATCTTTGAAATGTATTTTGTAAGAATCCTCTAATAACATTTGTGGTATCCGTTTTTTTTTTTTTTTTATATGGCATCTATGATTTCGTAGATGTCATCTGCGAAATGCAGTTTTTCACGGAAGGTTTTTTTTTTTTTTTTTTTTTGTCATCTGCATTTCGAGAAATGACCTATGTACTGCCGGAGATGGAATCCATACTGTGAAATCTGATATCTGTTATTCGTGAAATGAAATTAAGAAAAATAAGTCATGGACTTTTTATAAGTTCTATTTATGACATTAAGAAATTCAATAAAAAGGTATTTGATGTTATTTCTCTAAGAGAAAAACATGACTTCAAGTCTAACTTAATATTTTCTTTTAAGTTTTAATGGGGTCATGACAGTCGGTAATTGTGAAACTCAAAATGTTAGGATTCTATTAAATAGGTTGGATATAAATTTCTCTAGTTCATTAAATTTGGTAAAATGGATGATAATATTTAATATCAATTTATCTTTTCAACATCTACTATTGCAACATGTTATAGAATTTGTTGATTAGACTGATGTGAAACACCGGAAAAATGTTCTTAGGAAAGTCTCAATTGTTTTACATGTGTATCTGGTAAAATAGGTGGTGCTCCACTAGAAGTGGTCGCGACTAATCAATACAATCAACTATTGGTGGGAACCAATCTAGCGAAAAAGACTGATAAAAACTGATATATCGAAAGAAGACGTCATGTCAACACCTAGAGGCGGAGGGAATAGAGGAGCTGCCGGATGCTTTGC